GACATCGGGGGTGGTGCCTCTGGATTGGCAGACCGGGTTGGTGGTCCCTCTCTTCAAGAAGGGGGACCGGAGGGTGTGTTTCAACTATAGGGGGAACACACTCCTCAGCCTCCCCGGGAAGGTCTATTCAGGGTGCTGGAGTGGAGGGTCCGTTGGATTGTCGAATCTCAGATTCAGGAGGAGCAGTGTGGTTTTTGCCCTGGCTGTGGAACAGTGGACCAGCTCTATACTCTCAGCAGTGTCCTGGAGGGTGTGTGGGAGTTTGCCCAACCAGTCTACATGTACTTTGTGGACTTGGAGAAGGCATTTGACCGCGTCCCTCAAGGTGTCCTGTGGGGAGTGCTCTGGGAGTATGGGGTGCCTGGCTACCTCATAGGGGCTGTTCGGTCCCTGTACGACCGGTGTCAGAGCTTGGTCTGCATTGTCGGAAGTAAGTTGGACTTGTTTCCAGTGAGGGTTGGACTCCGCCAGGGTTGGCCTTTGTCACAGATTATGTTCTGGGCATGTCCTACTGGGAGGAGGCCCCGTGGAAGATCCAGGACACGCTGGAGAGACTATGACTCCTGGTTGGCCTGGGAATACCTCGGGATTCCCCCAGAGGAGCTGGACAAAGTGGCCAAGGAGAAGGAAGTCTGGGTTTCCCTGCTTAGACTGCTGCCCCCATGACCTGACCCGGAAAAGCGGTAGATGATGGATGGATGGATATTCAGTATATGTCCGTGACTGCAAGAAAGCAATCAGTTTCATTTTATGGATTTCTATTTAGCATGATGTCCTAACTAAACATGTAAGAAAACAAATATTTTGTTCTCTCCCAATAGGTTTAATATGAAGAGTAGTTAATGGTTAATGGAGGTACTGTCAGAGGCCCATTTTGGACCTATTCTGTTGCCTGTTAGTTAGGGGAAATTTTTGTAGTGTACCTTTTAAAAAATGATTGACATCTGTCTGATTTTCACTTTTGTGTGTGTATTTTTCTTGTTGAGTTTAATATTATTTGTGGGATACAGTGTACTGAAGAAAAGCAAGGTAATCATTTTGCAAAATTCAGGATTGAAAAAGTAATGGGCCTGATCCATTTATTCCTCTTCTATAATCACATGTCCTATTCAGGGTGGCAGGGGGTCCAGAGCCTATAAGAACAAAACAGGGAACTCACACACCATTCCCACCTATGGACAATTTGGTAACTATTGTCCATAGGGGGAAACCAGATTATCTAGAGGACACCCCATAATGACATGGGGTGAACATACAATCTCCGCACACATAGAGCCATGGCAGAAACTCAAACCCTGGTCCCAGAGGTGTGAGGCAACAGTGCTAACCACTGCACCACTAAGCCTAAGCAGATCATTTAAAGTTGGCTGTCTGAATACCATTAAATACCATCAGACTGATCAACATGAATTTAACTTTGTTCATTAACAACAGAATGAAGCTGTCGGCACACAGATTCTAGAAACACACAACTACAGCATGCATGTCACTGGAGCCACTGCAGCTAACAGAACTCCTGTTCCGGGCCTCGTGGGTCTTCCTGCCACCTCTGCTCCTATAGAACTCTAAGACTGAACACCACAGACCTCGTCCCTTCCCCAGCCTTCGCTCATTGTAAGGTTGTGAAATTCTTCAAACTTCTGTCATGTGGCAAGCATAAAGATAAGGTGCTGCATGATCAGAGTAACGATAGGGATTCATTTACATGCCTTTATCACTAATGTTTCGTACATGCTGTGTTCATCCACCAAGATGTTCTGCACGTTGTGAGGTTGTTGACATCATATTTCTATGCTGTCACAAACTGCACTCATTTAAAGTATGTTTCACTACATTTTAAAGTATGTTCTACAAGTCTGATGCTCATGCATTGCACAACATCACATAACTTTCAGGTGGATGCAGGTTTTCTAAAGGTTGTAGTGTTGTGGGCTCAGTTATGCATTCTGTCTGAAATGACCGTAAGGTGTGACTCAGCAATATGTGACAGGAGGAAGGAAATGACAGCTGCTTATGGTAACTGTGGACTGCCCCTGATAAATTACAGTGTTACACAGAAAAGCACGACTGCTTCAGAGCTGTTTATTACTTCTCAAAGACTTACACTAAAAATCTGCTGTTTAAGTCTTCAGTAACATGAGGCATGGGCACCTGTGCTCTGGCTGGCTGTGAGAAGTACTACCAGACTACTAAGTAGTGGTAAAAATATTATGGAAAAATGCTCAGATCCCAGAGCATTTAAAAAATGTAGCTGTACCGCATTGTGTTTGTGCATTTGATGATTTGTTGGTGTGTGAGTTCAGTGTATCTTAGTAGAATTCATGCATACATAGTTTTTCTCTCTAATATGGAGAAGAAACAAATGTATGACAGAAGAAATGAACAAATGGCTCCCCATAATATGATACAATGTTTTTTTAAATATTCTGTTAATGGTAGTTCTACTGAATATGTACTGGAACACATGGGGAGTTCAGCGAACCTGGGGGGTAGGATGCATCGTGGGATGGCTTTTCAGGCCCTCCGAGTGCTATTGGGTCGGCATTTGCCAACAGAGTAACCCTGCAAGATGTAAAATCCTGATCAAAGCAGCCCTCTTTGGTCTGACAGGCTTTCACAGGATTAGGGATTAGAGGGGCAGGATGCTGACAGCGGCTGGGGGAGTAAGAGGGAGATTTTTAAAGTTAATGTGTGCAAATTTGAAAGGGACCATCATCTTTGCGGGAGTAATCATGCATTTATGGAGCCCAGAGAAAGAGTATGCTTTTAAATTAATGTCCAAGGATTAATTATTTCCTCAGTTCATCAGTTAATTTTAATTAAATTTTGCAAATTTGTATGTGGTATGTTGTCTACAGTGGTGATATTTGTTATATATTGTTCATTAATATTTATTGGTTGGGGCACAGCGGTTAGCACTGTTGTCTCACACCTCTGGAAGCAGTGTTCAGGTCTCCGCCATGGCTCCATGTGTGTTGAGTTTGCATGTTCTCCCCATGTCATCATGGGGTTTCCTTCAGGATCCCAAAGTCCAAAAACATGCTGACACTAATTGGAGTTACTAAATTGTGAGTATGGCCTGTGATGGGTTGATGCCCCATCCTGGGTTATTCCCTGCCTTACACCCGTAAGCTTCAGATCCCCCCTAACCCAGAATATAACAACCAGTTTCAGAAGGTCAGTATTTATTGATGTTCTAATTGTCCCTAGTCTACAGGATAAATGTAAGTATTCCATTGGATAATTTATCCTTGACCATAACACTTTAAAACTTGAACTTGAAACTTCATACCATGTATTCAAAATATAGAGAGAAAGTTGACAGAATATGTTATATAAATGAGGGCCTAGGTATTTTTCTTGAAAGAAAATACAGTAAGAGCCTGATGGTCAATATAGAAGATTACAGCTTAATTTCACAACATTCATTTTTGGAAGATCCCACTTCCTTATTTCATCATCTCAGACACAATATTTACATATTTAGCAGATGCTATTGTCCAAAGCATCATACAATTAAGGATAAGCAAGGAGGGTCAGCCAGCGCCCCTGATGCAGTTAGGTTTTAAAGGCCTTGCTCAAGGGCCCATCACTCAGCCAGTTACAGGATTTAAACTGGTGACCTTTGGCACATGGAGACCAATCGCAAAAACACACTGAGCTGCACACTGCCCCACTAGCAACTTTTAGGATGGTTCAAGCTGTCTGACTCCCACCACCTGTCTCACTGGTAATGAACAGTATCCTACAATTTACGACTGTGCTATTTCACCATGAGATGCTGTCAGCAATGGCACTGACTAGAAGTTATGGATTGTGTGAAGGCTCCAAAGGTTGCGCCTTTAGGTTGTACATGCAGTTTCAAAATAAAACAGATTTCTTGCCCTTCCATTAGTGTGGCCGTTGCGTGCTTAAATGTCACAACTGAAAATAAAATTGAAAGGTCTAACGACACATTAGTTCTTTGCCAGTTGGTGCAGAGAGAAAGTCCCTTCTGAATTTCTTTGATATAAGCAGCTGGGTGACTATGACTACGGTGTATAAAAACGAATGCAAGCAATAAGTATTAATATGTTAAAAAGTTACTGGTATACACCGAATAACCCTCTGTATTCACAGAAGCCAAGACATTGGTTTGACTTAATGATTCACTCACACAGAGAAACGCAATCGCTCTCTTTTATGTATCACCCTGGGCGCTGATGGTATCTTGCAGGAAATGGTTTAACTTGCAAAATCAATTTAGCTGTAAGGTTCAAATGCTTTATTCACGCTAAGAAAAGTTTGCTTTTTTACAACAGCATAATGTAACATTTTTTTTCTGTTAACATACGCATTAATGCAATGCACAGAATATTAGTGTTAATACTGAATATGAAAAAGTACTGCTAATAATTTCACAACACTTTGCAGAAACAAAAGATTAACCAATGCCATTACAAAATAGAGAAGTGAGTGAGTTTTGCTGGGAAAAAAGTCTTACAAACATAAAAAAATAGCAAGAGCTGTTTGATTGGTTTCACAAGAATATTTCAAAACAAAGTGTCCCACTGGTTAGTAATCTTAAATTAAATTGCTTGCTTCAAAATACTGTATAAAATACTTCGAGCGGCTCTGTGAGGCCATTAAAAGACGAGCCCCATCATCTCCAGGACCCAGCGTTAATGAGGGGAGCACATTTTAAAATGAATCCTGCAACAGGGACATATGTGCTTGCTGTTCCTATATATTGCACCGTTTACGAAATAATCACAAGATGAGGGAGCAGGTGAAGTTTCCATTTTCCTGTTTATAGCTGTTCGTGAAAAAGATGAGCAATTTCCTGATTGCTGCTGTGGTGCCCGTCACAGGCACTGTTGGCACGGAAACAGCACCTTACATTACAACCTACTCTCTCATCCACAGCCATCATCTGCTCCCTCCCCTCCCCTCCCCTCCCCTCCCCTCC